GTAATAACGGCGCACTACAACCAAATCAAACCGGATCGAATGACAGTTTCCTTCGATGCTCAGTCCGCCAATCAACCGCCGGCCACTAGATTTTATGAAGTACCATCAGAAGGAGAAACAGCATACCCGTGCCCAAGACCGGGCACTGAGGACAGTGCCCTTTTAGGAGAGAGGGCGATGTAACAGCGTTAAAATCATCATGTATATGGTGTTAATAGATTCTGTTTTCTCCCTATTGCAGGACGACAAAGAATAAATGTTTTAGAAGAAGAAGAGCAAGCTCTACATGCACTGAGCCTACAGGACGACTCATAAGACTATTTGTAAACTAACGCCCCTCTTCTGTACATTTTCCCGCACATTTTAATTTCAAAATATAACACTGGTGTCTTGTATTCCGTGTTCTCTCTCTGTGGTGTGAAGTGCTCTGTTAATCATTGTGTGCTGTTGTTTTAGATTCTTCCGCCCTTCAGTAGCTGCTGCCAATACGTGTTACAACTGTTAACCTTTTGACTGTCTGCTTGGAAAGATTGCTGGAATCCCTGAAGTTAGATATATGATCCCATCTTGTTTGGAATATTTTTAATGATTCTCAGGTAGTGAACTCTTTTGTATTAACTGTTTCTTTTGATGTTTAGCAGGCTGATTTGTGTTGGAGAAACTTTTGACTGTATAGCACAGGCTGTACCGTTTGAGCTATTTTGTACTTTTGGTATAATTTGTTCTATTTCCTAAATTAGGACCGTTTAAATTGAGCACAGGGTTTGTGTTTTTATATAATTTAATACGAGTATCTCAAAAACGCTCTGTAAGCTATACAGAAGAACGTAGTCTGGCCTATTCGAATAAATTTTGGTTCGTCAGTCGTGCGTTCAAACCGAATATTGGCAGTTCGGTCGTTACATCGCCCATGTCTATGGTTCTGTTACATTTACCCACAGAGTAGAGAAAATACTTCATTAAAAGCAACCGCGACAATCACAATCAATACTTCTAAATCGTCAAACACAGTCTGAAACACACGCTTGACTATGATAGCAACAACTCGAGCTCAGACATTGATGAAAGTACTGACTGCGGCAAATACACGAATATCTGTTGACGATAAGAAACGGTAGGTGAGCTTTGGGCGATCAAAACGGCCAAAACATAGCTCTTAAAAAGGCTAAAAATGGGTAACGAATACGTTAGACAAATTTCTTGATTCTGTTAAATGTTCCAGTGTCCGAGAGTGGTTTGTTATAAAATGGGACAGCCTTTGATGACAAACGGTGAAATAAATACTGTACAATGTTAGGAAAGAGTATCTTTTTGGCCAAGTCATGTCACCTATATAAGAGCTCAAGCGTAGCATGCGCTGCAGAAGAAATTATACTGACATCCCAGAGACAGTCGGTCAAGAGGTCACCTCATATCCGAGTTGAGCAAAGCCATGAACCGTAAAGGATTCCTTTAGTAGGTCAGCAAACACTCAAGAACCAACCAGCAAGGTGTCTCACAGAGTGCCTGAGCAAGTGGATGGTAGTCAGGATGAAGCCCGAGTACATGATATGCAACAACACTTTTGTCTATTATGTAGCATAGACCTCCATATTATTACGATAATTAGCGGGTCCAAAGTACCTCGTCTGTTACACCTCATTGCCATTACGTTTCCACGTTTGATGGCTGTGAACTTCAGAAATAGAGATGACTTAATTGAGGCCGTTCATTCCTTTTATTGCTTAATAGACAACCTCTCTAGTCATAGATATTGCGAAAGCTGACCTTGATCGATAATTTGACTGCAAAAAGCCCATTGAAACACATCGCTAACCTTGATCAACAACACACGGCACAAAACACAGGGCCCACGGTTCCGTTAATACACGTTAAACAAGAAAACTACAGTGGCTAACATACTTTAAGCGAGAATGTGCTTAAAACTCAAGAGACAGATGTTACTATAGTGGGTCACCAGGTGGCGAGACAAACCATTATGTGCCTCAAAACCAGTGTAAGAGGACTAGGAGGGAAACTAGAAAAATTCAGTAACGCGTGTTTTCAGTTGGACGTGAAGACCATAGTGCAACATGGATGAAGAAGTGAGCTTGCACGGCGTGACGCTTTTCAGGTACGACAAAAAAAATAAAGTAGGTGGAGTGATGATATACGTTAACAGTCACTTGAAAACCTATAAACCACACAATACCGAATCACCTGTGGTAATAGAATCATGCTTGTGTTGCCTAGATTTGAACAGCACAAAGCGCTTGATTTTACAGATATCCCACCTCGTCGCACAGGGTCCAGCATTCAAAACGATGAGATAATACAGTCGATACTAACCCTGTCATATCTCGGTTCGATTAGGTGCTGCTGCCTGTAGGCTCTAACACTCTTAACAAGAGCGGTTCAACCCCTACAGAGTGCTTCAATAAACAGCTTATCACAAATACTCAGAGTTCAAGCCCGATTTCAAATGTGGATGGCGATATGAGACTGGAAACCTTCAAGCTTAAATTATTTACTGACAACTGAGAATCTTCTAGGTGGGGAAGTCCATATCCACTCACCAACATGAAGTAGTGATCATGGTACGGTCATTTTTGGTGAGATCACAAATGAAATATGTGATAACGTCGAGGAAGCATCCAATCTTAGCTGTGAGACGTATAATACAGGGTGATGAGGGAGCATCTTCAACAAGCACCATGTTCACGAGATTGGTAGAAGCAGTGAGACATCGTTCGGAATGCAACCCAACACAATGTGCCACATGGTAAGCAAATACCTGGAAAGCAAAAGTCCTAGCTCGAATGAGGCACGGAACGCTTTCTACAGGCCAAACGGGGAGCCTGGAACAAGTGTAGAGTTTCCATAAAGGATTCGGATCGTAACTCGTATGTGGTATTTAAAAATACATGCAACGCCAAAGTCAACAGCAAAAGAATTTTTGGACCAAGCTAGTATTCCATATACAAGCTAACCTCAAATTTCTCTATAGATTCATAGATACGAAAAAGCCTAAAAGCCAGTGTTTCTGTACTCTTAAAGACTTAAGTAGAGAAGATCCCACTAAGTTAGAGATGGCGGAGATCTTGAATGGCAACTTCACAAATCAACTAAAAAGGAGTAGGTTGGCATGGAACACCTCACAACTTTAGTGACGGTAGACGGCAAGAGAGATACCCAGCCAGCCCCCTGCTCCCGGAAAAATCATCAGGATGTAACAACACCTGATCTTTAATCCTGAAACAGTGCAAAGAAGTCATCAACATACCAGTGTGTGTCCTCTTCAAGCATTCACTAGATTCACGCCTATTTCCATGGGAATGGGAGCAGGCCATTCTCTCTCCATCCTTCAAGGAGGCGATAAGAAACACTCAGCCTGCTTCAGTTCAGTCACATCACTCCCAATACTATGGAAGGTAATGAGAAGACTGATAAATGAACAATTGAGGGGAAACTTGGACAAATTTTGTACTTCATAAAGCCCAACACAGATCCGGGAAAGGCAGGTCCTATGCGTCCTTTTCACCTGTAGTATGGGAAAGCTGGACAATCTGTTGGGACCAAAAGATTCAGGTCCATGTAGTATTCTTCGATTTCGCAAAGCTCTTTGGCATAGTAACTCATGCACATTCCATAGCGATGGCTGCAAAATTGAGTTTCACTGACCCACTTTTATTCTGGCTTCGAGACTACAAAATAAATAGGATGTTTCGTACCAAAGTAAATAGAGAGCAAGCTAAGTTGGAGTTGGGAGTCTCACGAGGAACAATTGTAGGTTCGCTGCTTTTCCAGGTCCTTACAAACTAGCTGTCAGATAATTTTAGCTCGGATGGTATTGATCTGTGCAGACGATGCGAAGAATAGGATGTCTGCGAGAAGCAAAAAGGATTCACTTGAACTTCATAAGGACCTTGCAACAAGAGCTTAAACCGAATGAAGGGTATAGCCAAGAAAAACTTTATTTTCCACCTTATTCGAAGAAAACATGGTGCAATCACCTGAGTTATTCCTAAAACTGCCTAAAATATACGCACGGTCGCACATGGAAGTACACATTGTCGTTGAGCTCCCTCTCTTCGAACAAGTACAGAGACGAGCAGCCAAGTGGGTGATAGGTTTTAGACATAAATCTTAGGAGGGCGAACTCCAAAAACCCGAGGTTATTCTTCATGAGCTATAAGAGAACAGGAGGCGATATAATAATGACATAGACATTGTTGAGTACGCCAAGCTACCTTAATACGAACACATTACCGGAACACCATCTCGACGTTCCTCGAGAAAAATCTTGATAGATCATACACCAGCGAGTGAATATCCAGGTATGCTGTTGGTGTCCCGTTGATTTGACTCTGATTTGGATGAATGTATGAATATTCGATGAAAATAAATCGTCGACTGAACTCAGCATATTATACCTAAGAATGATCAAAGTTGTCTGTCCGGAAGCTAGAACAACCCATCTGAGGTTGACATAGTACTAAATACTACACCCTCTCACTTTTCGTCACAAAGTTGTCCGATTTATAATACCCTACTGGTTGAGATGACCACAGCAGTGAATAAGTTTAAGGAGAGATTCAACAACCACGTATTCCCTAATGGATTTTTACCTCACTCTTGGACCAACTGTGTCTCAAACACTTCTCAAATTCCTACAGTTCTCGTCGCCACACATTAATAATTAATTCCTACACCTATTAATTCAATCTCCATTTTCCTACCTATTCTTTCATTTCTGCTGTCCAACACATCAACAAACACCTATTTATGCTTGAGACGAAACCAGTGGCGTAAATAGTCTCTCAAAACAAAAAATGATGACACAAAATAAGGCAGTGGACTAATATCAGCTCTTCAGAAGACGCTGAACATACTTAATTGATACACCGTGAGTTGTTTCAGTGTGCTAGCATTCAAGGTTACTTAGCGGTTATTGCAGATCGCTCAGTTGATTTTGGAAATATTTGACTGTGACTTTGCCGTTTCTGGCTGTTGTTCCCGATATGACATCATCGGATAATCTTCCTCTTAATGAACTTGAAAAGGAATTGCTAGATCCGAATTCGGAATGTTATTTGGAAAACTTGTTGGATGTAGTCTCAGCATTGGTTAGTGACTGTGACTTTCCTTCCGCTAAAAATTCGAAAAGCGTGCAGTCTTTCCTTAAAAAGTATGTAAAGTGTTTTTATTGTACCCATTTTGTGTTCTTCAAGTGTTATAGTTTGACATCGCTTGCATTGGTGCATTTTTTGGGCATGTAGGCTGAGTATCTAGTCTATAGACTAGATACATTTGGATATATTTAAATGTAATGTAGTTCTGATGAAGTCCTCACCTATACATCTTCCTTACAACACTTCGTTTCCAATCGTGCGGCGGATTGTCATCAAAGTTTTACGTGTATTAGTCACCCTGTTTATCTATTTCGCACAGATCCTGTTCTCGTTCCCTTTAAGGAGACCTCTCAATGGTTCGGAATCGAAAAAGAGCCCGGTTTCAATTCAGAACACTAAATGACTTGATCGTGACTAGATTTTATCATTCTATCGTCTTGAGCTAAGAGAGACCTCGTGGTTCGCGTCGATTTTTTAATCTGAGGAAAGAACGGATCCACAATTTCATTTTTTTCCTTCACTGCGAGCAACCATATTATGTAAAAGACTATGAAATAGCTACCATACCAAAAAGTATCAACTTCTTTATGTAGATAATCACGACTTAGTGTTCTGTTTATCAACTTACTGAGAAATTATTTACGTCTGGAGATCTAAAAATCAGTACCATCTTTATGTTGAAATTGTGGACAACTGAAAAGTTTCTAGACACTAATTGAACTGTTTTTTAAGTGTTTCACCCATCATTCTAGCAATGTGTAGAAACAGTACGTCGTGATGTCTTTTTGCGTGTGGTTCCACTAAAAGCTGTCTTTTTAATACACCACCTTGATGAATCTGAATAGCCGTTTGGTGTTTGATATAACTACATAAATTTTGAGTTAGATAGCTTCCATAACAAGGGAGGTTGAATGATCTATAGTTCCACACCCATCCATCATTTATTTGTTACATGACTTCTTATGTCTATTCTTGTGTCCAATTTTTTGTACGTATTGTTTTGTTCAGCGTTCTCGTCTTTGATCTCAAATCATTTGATCTCTTTCGCCATCACTTAGCCGCACTATATCATTGTATATCTTTTCTTGGTCAGGATTCTATTCATCCATCTTAGCAATTACAACCCTCGTTTACTCAACAAATCCTATTTCACAACAGTGTTGCGTAACGTAGCCCCCAAATGCCCTAGTACGGTCGAGAGTGGGGATAGTCCACTCTCCCTCTCGAAATGCTCTCACATGGCCACGCGTATATAGCCTCTACCAGGGAAGTCCTACTCACTGCATTCTCGTGGCATGACTGTTGTTTACGAAAATGAGAGGACGAATACCGAATGTCCGGCGCTTTAACCAGACCCCAAACCAATGGTGCACATGGGCTGGCTCTAGTATCCTGAAGGAACAAGTGGCGTATGAAGCAATCGTTGGTGACCGGCTACCATGGGAGTGCATCTCCTTACGATGGTCCACTGCATTGTGGGTCAGACGTTCAGGTCAAAGGCTCGGGGTGTGGTCCCCTAAGAAAACCACCTGCTTCGGTTTGGGCACCCGGGCAGTATCACAGCCCTCACACAAATCAATTGAGATTCGTGTGGCGCATATGTACTTGGTGCTTCCCTGTACCTATACTTATGTGTTAAAATAAAATAAATAAATAAGTTGCGTAACGTTGTTACATTTGTCTTAGCTATTTTGGCTTTGTTTCGGTACGGAAAATGTGTCCTACTGTCAGTAAAATGCTAACCTGTGCTGCTCTTGCCATGACATGCACTGAACGTAATACTGGTTGTTATGAACGTAATGCAACTGAGGATCTGGCTTGAGTGTTAGAGGCCGGCCGAAAGATAATATAACGATATTTCAGAGCCATCCGATGGCGCGTATATAGTAAGAAGAAAGGGATCCTTGAAAGCGTATTCAATATCTTGGAAAAGTCATATGAACAAGACTACTCACGATACGTTTTCGTGATCTTGGAACAAAGATCAAATATGTGTTTAGTAGGAACAAAAAAGAAGAGAATGAGGTTTATAATTTGCTGTTTTTGTTTTAGAGCAAACAGTTAGATGCCTACACCTTTGGATGAGTCCCACACTGACCCCTTTCTCAACCGTAGATTATTTATTGCCATTGTATTTCCACATGTCTGGATCTTCTTAAATGATTTAAATTAACCCCCGAATGCCTTGGTACGGCCAAGAGTGGAGAGAGTCAGCTCTCTCTCTCGAAACGCTCTCACATGGTCACGTGATACAACCATTGCCTTCTCGCGTCCGGCGTGTTATTTGTGGAATCGAAAGGACGAAAAGTGAATGTCCGGCGCTTCAACCGGGTTGGTGGACTCCTAGGGAGGTGGGAAACCCTGATTCCAAACCAATGGTGCACATGGGCTCCGGAATCCTGAAGGGACAAATGGCGTATAAACCATTTGTTGGTGACCGGCTACCGTGAAACTGCATCCTCTCACCTTGCTCCATTACCTTGTGGATCGGACCTTTAGGTCAAAGGCTCTGGGTGTGGCCCCCTAAGGCACCACCTGCTTCGGTTTGGGCACCAGGACAGTATCCTAACCCTCACGAAAATCGAATGGTTTATGTGGCACACATCTATTTGGTGCCTCCTTGTACCAATGCTTATGTGTCTAAATAAATAAAATTTTGAGAACAATATATAAAGCTGACGACACTGGTATATTCTATAGACGCATAGCTCTATGCTTTGAAAGCCTGCTCTGAGAGTCGATCCCTCACAGGTTTCGGACAACCTGCGAAGTGTGACGTAGTCCAGTAGTTTGGACGCGATCGAAAATAAACTGATTTTCCGATCGATGGAAAGATTCAAACAAATAATATCAAGTGAATTTAAACTTCACCCCATTGCACAAACGCGATGGCGTTTGAAGCGAACAGTGCTGAGTTCGAGCCTCAGAGTGAACATAAACTCTGAGGTGCAGGCACATCTAGCTGACGAGTCCCGAATAGGACGAAACGCGCTTTGTCCTGAATTCCACTATCTATCTTTGCATATAATGCTTGTGAATTAAGGCTTTATCGAGGCAATGCGCACAGTATGCACATATGCCAATTAGACTGATCAATTACAGTTCTAAACATCAATGGGAAGATTCAAACAAACAATACCAAGTGAATGTATTTTTAGATAGTTTTGAATTGGTGACGTAGGTTCTTTTTAAAAGTCGGAACGACGATTACCTCTTTCCACGATATTGGGATACTACTTTCCAAAGTTGGGGATCGCCAGACTAAAGCTTGCCATTAAGCAGTAGTGTCATTGTTTATTTTATCTGCCAAACTACTAGTTACCTATTATTTCATCCCATTCCCCCTCAAACTTCTCTTATCACTTCATAGCTATACCACTTATTTTTAGTTTTACATCAGTGTAACCATCTTCACCCCTTTGTTCAAAGTCGCTTGTGGCTTCGCGAAACATCCCGCTTATAAGCACTAGGCTCCTACAGGCTCCTTACAACTCATTAAAGAACGTCCGTTTACTCCATGTGACTGCGAGTTTGACCATAAACAAAGGTTGTTACGTATTGAAACTGTGCAAAGCTTGCTTAAAGACTGAGAAGCCTGATGGTCGGAGCGCGCTGACGAGTTACAAACAGCAGCTGCATTTGGAAACTGCCAGAAACTCCTTCAACTCGTCTGAGTCACTAGCAGCAAAACGTCTGATGTGAATGAAACAATCTATGAAGCTGATGGAATGCCAATCAACTGCATCTACCAACGTCTTGGGCGGTGGGCAGAGTTTCTCGAGGAATAATTCAACTGATCTGTTGTCTGGGCAGCATTAATGGGACTGTCCTTCCCTCCATGGATGGTAATCTATCTAATGAGGCAGAAGTTCTTAAATAATTCTAACTCTTGAAGTATCACAAACCACCAGGCCCAGATGACTGACTTTCGACCCTTTTTAAAGATGCTGGCGAACCTTTGGTCAAGGAAGTGACTGGGTTGCTTGTAAATGTCTGGCATTTAGTGAGTGTTCCAACATAGTGGGATGAGTCGATAGTTGTTCCTAACCTTAAAAAGGGTTCACTTCGTTTCTGCAACAACTATCGAGGGATAAGTCTACTCCTGGTTGCGTCCAAACTATTGTCTTCCGTCGTACTTCGTAGATTGTTCAAACCCGAGAAAGATTAACTCACGAGGGGCGGGGTGCCTTTCGTTCTGCTCTATGCTTGTGAAACCTGGCCTCTCCGAGTTGAAGATGTTAGACGACTCTCTGTACTTGATCATCATTGTCTCCGAAGGATTGCTGACATCCCGTGGTGACACCATGTTAGTAATGCAAAGGTTCTGCATCGTGTGTTCGGGCACAGAGACGAAAATCCAACTGGTGTTACCATATTGAAACACCGACTTCGATGGCTTGGACATGTCTTACGAATGTTATCCTAGAGAATTCCATATCGTGCATTATTTGCCGACTCTGGGACCGGTTGGGAAAAGAGGAGAGGTGGTCAGTGTATGACATGGTGTCGTGGTATGAAAGATAGCTGTACAGGACTGGCTTCTGTTAATCCTTTACGACTCCCTGGTTGGGGTCCTAGAAATAGTGCAACACAGTGACTTGAAACGTTATCAGACACGGCCCAGAATAGAAGCCAGTGGCGATCCTGCTGTAACTTTCTTTTACTTTATAAAAAATGAACGTCAATGTTTTGACTGAAAAAATTCTCTCTGGTTGTATTTTCGTTAACTGTTTCTCCTATTATTATTATTATTATTATTATTATTATTATTATTATTATCATTTCACCTCGTACACTAATTTATGTTCGTTGTCGCTCTTCGTTTATTATACCTTTCATTCTGTATCTCTTCACAACCTCATCGTTATTATGTGGAGCATATGTATTTCGTACCCACTTGTACCAATGTTTAGGTGTTCAAATAAATAAATGAAATTATTGTACACCAATCCATGTAAACATTATCCTTTATTTTGTAGATTCACGCTGCAAACCGATCGTCTGGTTCATTGTTAGAATATAACATTTTCTATGTAACCATCTGAGATGACCCAGAAAATGTTATCATGAATCTTAAAACCATCAAACAATAAGTATAGCTCGCTTCTAAGAACACTGATATATAAAATATTACTCTGTCACATCACAGACTCTGAAAAACTAAACCGCTGTTTTAATCAAAAGCTAACTCCACCAATATTTTGGAGTTTTATTTATTTATAGCGCCAGGAAATGCGTCGTACAATGTGATGTAACTCACTAATAATGTACAGTTTTGTGTCAATCGTTACGAAACACGTTATATAAAATAACGGTCCCACTTTGCTGCCCAAACGTAGACAGCCCCGGAGGACTCAGACTTGAGATCAAATGACTAGACGCTAGACCGTGTAATCTCTGAAATAATCGGTTCATTTAGTTATACATTAAATACCTCATGTATGTGTCAAGTCATTCATCACAGAGTCATATCATGGAGTTGTTCTCAAACTAGCAGTATTTTTCACTACACCCTATTTTATTAGACATTTTCTTTCATTTATCATCTCTTATAGATATAGTCAAGCTGCCAAAATTATTGAATCACGTCGGACAAAATATAATGATTTTGAATTAATTAAAGTGATCGGGCAAGGAGGATTCGGCCGAGTTGAATTAGCCAGACACAAGCGTACACGACGTGTTTATGCCATAAAATTAATGAGTAAACAACACCTATTAGACCATAGTCAGTCTGGTTATTGGGAAGAACGTGATGTTATGGTGAAAGCATCAAGTGAATGGTTGGTTGCTTGTCATTATGCGTTTCTAGTAAGTTGAAAATATATTCTATGACGTTTTCATGTTTTCTACTTCAAAACTAATGTTGTTAATAGCTACCCTTTAGCGATATCTTTTATGACTGCGGTTTTTGTTTATCATCCAAACCCGAAAATTACGTATATATCTTGCTAATGAATGACAGTGAATATAAAACGTTAACTAATCAAGACTGTATGTTTTTCTTTTCTGGCCATTCAGTTGTTAATACAGTACAGTATTCTGTTAGTTATTCAGCTAACTAAAATGATCACATTACAAAATTTTGTCAAGTGAGTTGTGTTAATTATAAAGACTAACCAGGAAAATATTAATTACTATTGTGTGACTCAATTAGTCTAAAAGTTCGTTTATTTTCACTTAAACAAAATATAGACAATTCAAGTTAATACTAGTCGTCAGTCTTCAAATGCTCTGATACGGCCGAGAGTGGAGAGAGTCGGCTCTCCCTCTCCAAATGCTCTCACATGGTCACGCGTATACAGCCACTGACAGGAAAGTTCTGTTCACTGCTTTCTCGTAGCGGGGGTGTTATTTACGAAATTGAGAGGATGAAAAGCGAATGTCCGGCGCTTTAACCGAGTTTATTTGTGAGTCCATGATTATCTTAATTATACAAGATTATTTACTTAGTCGGTACAGATTTCTTATATCGACTAAATCCATCCAACAATCTTTATTTCATATTAGCCCATTCAATGATTCAAGCATATGCAGAACATCCCGAACAGGTTGGTATTAAGCGAATGCTCAAAGTCATATTTTTTTAGTGACCCTTTTTTTCACAACCGTACATTGCAACGGAGTTCAGTGTTTGCAGTGTATTATCATTGCCTTATGGTCTAATATCTTAAGTGCAATAAACTTTTGGAAACAGTCTAACACAGTTACCAAGAACGGGGATATGTACTTAGCTTTGAGTTACATTGTTTGTGTATTTGGGGCATTAATATTGTTTATCTACCAAAACTAAGGTAGGTAGGACAAAGTTCAAACTAGTAATCTACTTATTGGAAGCCAATTGTTTTAACCACTAAGCTATCTCTCCACTTGATACAAGTTTCGAAATTGAAATTTCCTCTAAACTTCAAGTCTGTTTGCTAATTCATTTGAATAGTTGTATTCATTTGATACAATAATAGCATGTTCTAGGTTAAATACCACTAGGTAATTAATCCTGTACCATATTCTTTTCTTCCCAGTTTATTTAATCTAAAACTGTTTGTTATACTTGCTACCACAAAATTATGCTGGCTCACATTTATGTAGAACCATATTCATTCTATTAGTGAGCTCTCCAATGATTAGATTTGAGATATATTTCTGGAAGCCCAAATAAAAAGGGGGGGTCTTTTGAGTCATATATATTGATTGTGGTGGTTACGCACTTTGTGACATATATTACGAAATGACCCGAGTTAAAAACATATACAGGACTGTCATTCTGATTTAGACGTAAAATGGTTTTGTTTTCTTGGCTGCTAAATATAAAGGTTTTGTGTCTAATCCTTTGCTGCGTCATATAGTGTTCATTGCTGATTTGTTTCAGGCTAGAAAACGAACATCTGTTTACTGCTACTTGGTTTTCAATGGTTATCCAGTTATTAGTTTAGGGGATTGGTAAACGTTATCCACTTTAATAGTTGACATCACGGACTGATTATTTTTAAATAACCATTTGAAGTCGGGATGCACTGGGAAACCGTCTCATCATAACATAAAACTCCTCAGCGGTGGGCATCCGCAACCCTATCAGGTTTCTGGCCCAAAACATTCAGGCCTCTTAGCTAGCACTTAACTTCTCGATCACTAAGTTTTTACCCAATGCATCATACATTTTGACTTGAATCAATTCTAGACATTGGGTAACTATGACTTCAATTCTTTCACGATGTTTATTGTTTTATTCCCGACTTGGTTGATTATTAAAAAGTTTTGATTTTTTACCGGAAATTTAGGAAATCTATTGTAAAATCATTTACTGGTGAACATAAGGTTATTTTTATTGCTATTATGAATATTATTAAAATAGAATTTTTCGAAGAGATAATCCTCGAATTCCTCTCCGTTCAGTGCTGTTACGGGTATGAGGCCTGATATCACTTCCCGGCTGCGCACATCATGAAAGGATATTTCTTGAGAAACGTGAAAAGAAAATTGGATTAGTGTTGGTCTTAACGACCTAGGAGCATGACCGCAGAGCCCAAGGGACACCTGTTTGGGGCCAATCACTCACGGCCTTTTGGGGGGAGTTTTTAACGTGCTAGCTCTGTTCTTCAAAGGGCCTTACCGCCGGAGGTGGAAATCCATGAGGTAAGGGGAGGTGTGACATTTTTAGTATCAGCCTTTTCTAACCCCATCCTTCCTTATGAGAAGGCAGCGTCGCTGCAGATGTTGGTTGTTTGAGGGAAACACCTTACTGCTGTCACACCTCTGTACAGTCAGCATTACGACTCCGTCCTCAGATCTTGAGTTGCTGCTTTTAGTTTTACCGTTCTCCAATCGACCTACCTGGCATAGTAGAACCTACCGGAACATATATTCCAGCCAATATAACTCGATTGGGTCATCACGATAGGCAAGCTTGACCACCACGTCAAGGTAGCAACTTCGGTCGAGCTTCGTTTAGTGAAAAATCTGAATAAGAGAAATAATAAGACTTAGCCGCCATATTGTGATAGAGGGGAAAGTAAATCCAAATAGTCGTTACATCTCTCCTCATGAAGGTCCTATTAAAATGAAATCAGTATTTTATGATACAGCGTAGCGGTAGTAGTAGTAGTACTACTACTAGTCACATTAACAACATTTCAATATATATTTCTTTATCCTTATTCTTTCTGTAAACGTGTAACTACATGTGTGCATTTATGAAAGTGACATATCTATACTTGATTTCTCAAATCAATAAAAACAACGTAGCCTATTTCATTTCAAACATATTATTATACATTTTCATCTAAACTATGTTAACAAAGTATTGTTGTTTAGTAGTTTACATGTGTATGTATGGACATTTCAATACATTGTCTTGATGACGTATCTTATATACATTATATACTATTACAATATGTATTATGAAACTCATAATATATGTACATAGTTTATTGTTAATACTTGCAAACAGTCATAATATAAGCTATTCTCATTTGAATAATCGAACTAATAAGGGGTTCTTTCACTGCGCTAATTCTTGTCTAGCTCAATGGATATATATATATATATATATATATATATATATATATATATATATATATCCAAACTAAATCAGAAAGTTTGATTTCTTGTCCCCAACTCTATCTAAAGTTCAAAAAAGTATAGTTAATCTGAAATGAGGAAGAGCAGCTGGTTCATATGGATTGGCTCCAGAGGTCTTTAAGGATGGTGGTCCTATTTTAGCGATTAGGTTAACTAATATTTTAGCTAAATTCTGGTCACAATAACTAATTGTCCCAATATATAAGAAAGGGTCAAAATTATCCTATGATAACCATAAAGGGATTAGTTTGACTAACATAGTATCTAAAATACTAGCCTGAATAATTATCGGACGCCTAGCTAAGACTCGTGAACTAAAAACACGAGAACATCAGGCTGGCTCCACACCTGGTCGTGGCTACATCGACCACATTATTCACTATTCGTCAGGTTCTGGAACACAGATAGTTCATCATCCTCTCCGAGTTGAGGATGTTAGACGACTCTCTGTGTTCGATCATCGTTGTCTCCGAAGGATTGCTGGCATCCAGTGGCAACACCATGTCAGTAATGCAGAGGTTCGGCATCGAGTGTTCGGTCACAGAGACGATAATGAAATTGGTGTCACCATCTTGAAACACCGACTTCGGTGGCTTGGACATGTTCTACGAATGTCGTCCCAGAGAATTCCACGTCGTGCATTATTTGCCGACTCTGGGACTGGTTGGAAAAAGCGGAGAGGTGGTCAGTATATGACATGGTGTCGTGGTATGAAAGAAAGCTGCAAAGGGCTAGCTTCTGTTGGTCCTTCACGACTCCCTGGTTGGGGTCCGAGAGACGGTGTAACGCAGTGGCTAGAGACGTTATCAGATATGGCTAAGAATAGAAGCCAGTGGCGATCGTGCTGTAACCTCTTACTTTCTTCATAAAAAGTGGTTGTATCTTCCTTAATTGAAAGATCTCTTCTGATTGTACCTTTCCGTTTCCCCCACCATTGTTCTCTCTCTCTCCCTTTTTTTTTATAATTCCCCACGTTCATTACATTTTTTTTCTCTTTTCTCCTTCTCTTCAAATTATCATTGTTTTGTGTGGCGCATATATATTTGGTGCCCCCCTGTACCAATATTTATGTGTTCAAATAAATAAATAAATAAATAATCTGGAACACAGGAATACTTATCGGCGTCCGACAATGGTGGTCCTTCTTGACTTAAAAGCATCATTTAACTATTTACGCGGAGAGTTTCTGTGGCAGTGTCTGTCATTGAAAGGTGCACCTCAGAAGTATATAAACCTTGTGTGGGCTCTTTACTCGAACACTACTAGTAGAGTGAGAGCTTATGGCGAACTGTCAGCTGTGAATTTTCATTGGCTGAGATGGTTAGGCCATGTGTTGCGTATGCCTGAACACCGATTACCACGATGCGCAATTCTGACTAGTGTTGGGGATGGGTGGAAGAAAGTTAGGGGAGATCAAACAAAATCGTGACATCAGTGCTTGAAGTCACTAACTTGTGGTGTGAGCCATGTTGGTAGATGCAGATTACTTGTTTGGGGCCCGCATGACTATCGTAACGAATGGTTGGATTCTGTGTGTGAAATTGCTCAGAATCGATCAGAATAGCGTAGGTGTATACATTCTTTGTCTTCCCTTAAACTATGAGATTCAAATCGCTTGATATTTTTCTTTCTACCAACTAATTATTTCTCCCTGTACTATATCCTTATATAAAATCTTTTCTTTATATATTCCCACCACTGAATCAACCACTTCTATGAATCCGGTGTTCATG